CATTGAGATGGATTGGCTTCCATCGATTTTATCAAGTGTAGGACAATTTTGGGGTCAGTTTCGCGAGTATATCGATGGTACCACATCAACCACATTACCAAGTCAAGACTTTTTCTGTAGCCCAATGCGAACTTTTCCACGTTTAGGCCTGGTCACAGAATTTCCCAGAGTAATCCGCCGAACTTGGTCTTCACATCTAAACCCTTCGTATTAATTTTACTATTGAGGGGTGCGCGATAGACTTACCTCCACGTGGTGCATCCTGGACAACGTATTCTCATACGGCAAAAAAGTCTATTAACTGGCAGTTGACTTCTGACTTCAAACTACCATGACTATGTCATATTCCACTACTTCCACAGTACTCACCTCACCTTACCTTTTCTCTGCCTTTGTGTCTGTCTACCTCTCTTACATCTGTGAATTATTATTCTGTCCACCCCCCTCTCGACTTTTTTCACTTTGATGTTCCTCCTCCTCTCTGCGAAGAAGCCTGAAGTTAACTAAATGGCTAATGATAACTATCAAGACGCCAACCATTCGAAATAAATAAGTATTGTACCATCTAGAAGGGATGGAAGGGAGAGTAGGAAATTTGAGGATGAGCGCCAAAACAGAGTTGGAAAGAGGCCAGAGTTGGCTTTTGTTTGAGCTTATAGAAAAAAAATCAAGAAAGTGGAGTAAAGTCTGGGAAACAAGGGTGTGCACTGGCAAATTAAAACTTGATTTCTTATTATCGTGTTTGAAACTCAAAAGTATTCATTGTGTAAGGTATCAACTTCGCCTTTCGCTTAAAAATGACATGCAAACTCTACTCGCTTTAATAAGGCTCCTATGTTAAAGCATCGTACTTTGACGACACGTAATGAATGCTGAAATTTTTAGTTTGACTCCTCAAATGTTCTTTTAAAAATTTAGCACACACACACACACACAATGTCTTTCATTATAAGAAAGAGAATGTAATTCAAGAGCCTAAATAATTTGTAAGGCATAAATACAGATCATGGGTTTATTTCATTTCTAAATCAATCAATTATTGAAAAGTGGGCTTATATTATAGTACTTCATATCTCCTCCAACCAGATCAAATGCCACCAGTGAAATAGCATTTGACAGATGGATTACAAGCGAGATCGTATGAAAGGCGTATTGCTAAGGCGGCAACTGGAGTATTTACTATTAGGACACTGAGTCACGTAGACACACCGTATTTTTGGTCATGTACTTGCAGTGTTGGCATGCGATTCGCCAACAAAGCAAGCGATTTTTGCTTTGAAGGGACGATAAATGACTCTCTACTTACACATATTAAGTAGAGTGTGTTAAAAACTGATGATACCTGAACAACTTAAAAATCACAAATTTGATTCAAATGGTTACATTACAGATGTTAATTGGCTGTCCTCTAATTTCCTACGGTCAAATAAAAGTCTCAAATATTCTTATTGGAATAGCCATTAAATTACACATAAATGCTTATTAATACGATGTCAGTACTACTTAAGCGTTAATTTCTCAACATGATGATTCACGGTTATATCGGGTTTCATGTGTTTATCAACGTCGGAACTATTATACAGAAATACACAACATCAGCGTCAACGAACTTGAATTGAGTTTGCTAAAGAAGTGTGACTGAACAGAATAATCAATAAATGTCTCTAAATTGATTTAATGCAATTTTTATACGAATCGATCACGAAAAGGAGTCCTCCTTAGTGGAGTATACAATTTGCGCACAATAAAATGCGCATCCGTACATTCTGGAATGTGCAGCCTTACGCTTAGAGCGCTGTTAAGCTATTTAGCTATTATTATTCACTAAAATCTTAATAGATTTATCTGATAACTAATTATGTTTGCCAATAACAAAATTTGCAATTAAATTTTCACTTGCAACACGCATTCCACCACTCGCTGTAGCCTTTTCAACTTGGAAAATCTCTCATAGAGATTTCGGGGTCTAGTCAGCTTCCATGAGTGCTTCCTAGTTACTAATAATTTATGAATTTTAAATTAATAAATAAAAAGGATTTAATTTTAGTTTGGATAAGACGAATGAGAGTAAGGGAAAACAAAGAGCTTCACAATATTAAGTAGATTTAAGGAGATAATGAGTTCAATTTTTACACCGCCTAAATGTTATTTCCAGTTGTGTTTTATGTAAAGAAAAAACCGTCATAATTTGCCAGACGTTCTTATGTTGGTCTATAATATATGCTTAATTTAGCTTAAAATAGTTACGCCCAGGTCTTATGGTGTAAAATAATATTGTAATACTTAAATTAATCATGACCACTCTCTTAATTACCTAGTCGGATTGTTTATACTTGCCGTATAATTTACCGACAGTACGTTTTTTTTCGGGTTCTTCTCGTGTTAGTCTTTGGCTATCGCAGTAATATTTGATTTTACTATCTGAAAATATATATCTGTATAAAAGTAATTAATTTTAAACTAATTGTGGTAATTTACTGTTTAATGTCGATTTACATACGATAAAGTATTTAAACATATGTTTTTTCTATATATCACAAAATATTTTTTTATATTAACCACAGAAAAATGGATTTGACACAAATCCTTTTGGCAGCCTCGAGTCCAGACCTGCAGCTGGTACAGAGTGCAAATATTCATCTTGATGAACTATCCAAATCGGATCCTCTTTTTTTGTCAAAACTTACGTCAGCTATTTTTGAGCAGAGTGACTTGCTTACCCCATCAGCACTTCTCTTTGCGATTATTCATTTGAAAAATCTTGTCAAAAAGTGGTCTAAATTTGATATAAACCAACAGGAGTATATCACGTCTACAATACTCCATCATCTGCGACAAAATCCTTCCCCTAATCAATTCATTTCTGAAATTATAGGTATGGTATTTCGTCAGGAATGGGGAAGAGAATGGCCAGAGAAAATCTGGTTGACTATCATTCAATCGGAAGCTTGGACGCCACTTCGACGCTGCATTCAACGTTCTGCACACCTGCGGCTTCCGATGCGTAGAAAGATTCTTGGTGCTCAAGTAGCTGATGTCCTCCCTCATTTAATCTCTCATTGGGTTAATTCAAATAATTCTGAACTTCTTCATACAATTTACACTTGCGTAGCTGTGATTGATAGTTCCGTTGTGACTGAGATCATGTCTTCAAATTCCTCAGTTTTTGGTGAATTGATAAATAGTGCTCTAACAAGTCTCACCTCTCCTGAATGCAAAGACCGCAAGCGTCTGGCAAAGTTGCTTCATGCCTTGTTTTGCCTCCTTCCTATTGATTTACGAACTCCTTGTGTCGTATCTCTTCTCAATTCTATGACAACGGTGATTGCGAATGACTTAGCAGACCGTAAAACTGTTTTCTGGGGCCTAGCAACTATTTTTAATATCACTTCTGCTACCTTTCGAGATGATGGGTGGAGATCCACTTATCCCGCTTTTCCTTATCTCAACCAGCATGCCAAAGAACTCGTATTTAATTGGTATATGTCCCCTAGTAGCAAGATTCCTCAACATTGTAACGCAGTTAGTTTGTTACTAGCTTTAATGCGTGCCTGGATGCCTTTGAGTGAATCCCAAATGGAGGCTCTTTATTCTGAACCAGAGGCTTGTTATTCAACTGGAGGTGTCTTTTGCAACGATACGGTGGCGGGTGAGTCTAGCAATGTATTCTTTGCTGAAGCTTTCTGGAACACTAAATCTTCCTCCACCATTGCAAATGCTGACTTCATTCCTATTCACCCCGAAACTGTACCTCTATTGCGTCAATTGGCGGAATCAACTTTCCAACTACTTGCAAAACATTTAAGCAGCCATTTAGTAGGAGTGCTGTCCTCAGCAATTGAAGAATTAATAACCACTGGAGAAGTAGCCTTGAAGGAGGTGGGGATGAGGTCCCTTCAATTCCTCCTGCAAATCGATTCTGTTCAATGGTGCAGCCATGTGGATACTATACTCTCAATAACATCCTCTAGTGGGCCAAATATTGAACCGCTTATTCAAGGAAGACGAATGGCTCTTCTTGTTCGCAGGGCTCTCATCTCCACCAGGTAAGCGCTTGTTTTCAACTCGTACTACTATTGGTGTTACATAATTCGAACACTGGATTCGATTGGTCGAGTTTTCTGGTTGAAGAAAATGTTCATTGCTTTTAATCGTATTGTACAGTTCTAGATTACTAATTTTTCACCAGCTTCTTGTTAAGGATGGTATTTCTCATTTTCGTCGGGTTTTAGCTCATGGAATCGATGTGTAGCTGATTTGCAACGGTCGTTGTCGAGGTTTCACTTTTTTAGACATTGAGTTATATTTGTAACCCCTCTAATCTTACAGTAGGCTATGATCGATTCGCGGTATTCATCACTATTTTTTCACTTTACATTGACGTAAAATTTTATTTACATAGGAAGTATGGCTGTCAAATTATGTATAAGCCTTCCTATTAATCGAATGCGGACATGCGCCTAGTTAGAAAAGTGGTTCTTTTGTTTCACTAACATTTCGAATTTCGGCATCTACGATGAGTTTTTGAACTGAATTTTCTGACATTGGATCACGTTAATATTTCTGCTGCTCTGACATATATATATATATATGTGTGTGTGTGTGTGTGTGTGTACATCTTTTAGATCGTAGTTGATATATTCAACCTCAAATTATCATTAGATCACAGTTCATTCGGTCTCTTCAAGGGAAGATAAGTCAAATGTACAGTTTGCGCTAAAGTCACTTTATTAACTTTTGTAGGAATCATATGAGGACTTGGTTTTAATGTTTTTTCGGTGAAGAGCGGGAGGGAGGGAGGGGTGGGGGGGGGGGGGGTNGGGGATCTGCCTGACCTAATTGTACAGGTAATCGACCAGCATACACCCTCTATATTAACATGTCTGTCGGCTCTGTGTTTATTGCCAATCTTTTCAAAGCGTACAGGTGTTGATGGCGCCTTATCCCTAAATTATTCTCCAAATACGTTTATGATTAGGGAAACTAGTATAAATATTGGATAGTTCATTGTCATTTCATTGGATTTGTTCTTTGGTTGTTTATTAGGGTGCATTTTCTCCTCATAATTTTAATCTAATAGGTCCAAAATATAAGCGGTTTTTTCTTAAAGCTTCGTTTGGTTAATTTCATTCCCTTTCCTTTTGAGATCAAATTGTATTCGATTCACTGTTCATAAGCAGTTCAATTCAATTGTACATTTCCGATTTCATCTATTTTTGTTCTGTCCAAATTCATGAGGGCGCGTTTTGTTTTGATAGTTCTTCAGATGAACTCAAACGCAACTGTTCTGTGGCACTGATTGAATTGGCTTCGTGTCTGAGTATTTCATGTGAGAACAAAAAACGTGGAATTGTCCTCCAATTAGCCACGGCATGCAGTCTCGTCTGGTTCCTCGAGAATCCCTCTTTCCCTCCCGATATTCTCTCAAATCCCCTCGATCCAACTCTCGCCAATATCCTTGCTTCCTTTGCTAATCTCGCCAAGGTCAGTCAATCTTTTTCTTCGTCTCAACTTGGTATCCCCTTTAGAATGTAGAAGAAGATGAAACAAAAGTTCTAATCTTGAGGTATCTTCAATGTGTATTTGAAAATGGTAATATTGAATCAAATTTTGGTTCGTTCATCCGAACTCTTCAGGACATTTGGCAGATGGGTATGTCTTCCCATTTTTAATCTGAAATACACTCTACTGAAACGTATTAAGTAGGAAGTATTATATTGTTTTAGCGGAGGGCGGTTTACAGCTGCGCGCAAGCCTAATAGACCTCGTAACGACAGTCATGAGTGCTCTAAATTCTGAGTCCGCTTCTCCCGAGGTCACTTCAGCGTCTGAGGAGCTGACACGCGTTGCCGTTACCTCGTTTATTATCCCAGATCTAACACGTTTCATTAAATTGGGCGATAAAGACGATGCGGATATGCTTGTTGATTCCTGTCTCCCTTTGTGGCGGGCTCTTGTCACTGGTGGTGGAGCCCGCTGGTCATCTACTTTGGAACAACTAATGCCCCTATTGACCGATATGCATGGTGGTGACGTTGATGAAACTCTGTACGCACGAGTTAAAACAGTTGATCAAGCAGAGGTTTGTACTTTTTGTGCTTCCAACTTAAATAGTCTTCAATAGCTTGGTTGTTTACTTGTGGATTTGAAATCACCAAATTCCGAAAAAGTTGAGAGTATATCGGAGTCGAAATTCAATTATTGTTTTGACGTAGGATGGAGTCAGGGATATGTGGGGATTTCAGTATGCCATCTGCTAGAGATATTTAGAGGCGACTTTGGTTGCCACGTAGCTTCAGTTTAATGAGTCTTCATTCCATTACGATTTTTTTCAGTGCATTCCGTTGGGTGGGGTTTAGTTTGTCAATTCTTAGTCGTGATTATTCAATCCCCCCCCTCTCCCCTCCTACCCCCAGTTACATAATACAAGGTGCTAATAGCAGCTGATTTGGGCAGTGAGCAACTCTCTCCTGGAGTCGTCTATTCGGTTTGTCATTGACATCACTAATTGTGTGCGCGCTGATGGGCATCGATCTCGTGGTTTTTGACATGCATGTCAACCACCGCCCCACCACTTGATGGACAGTTCTTCTAGTACCCGAATGCTCTTCTTTTCAACGTCCTATTTTGGGGTGGATTTGAGTGTGGTTGAGTGGAGAATATCAAGTCGGAAATAACTTGTGATTTATTGAAATGAGGTCGTGTTCAGTATTCATGGCGCGATGCCTATCCATGCCAGTGATGTAGTTTTCTTTTCACTTTTATAGATTTTCTTCGAAATCGCTGACGCATGTTTACGTTTGGCCTCATCCCCGAATTTCTTGTCATTGTGGACGGAGGCATTCTGGTCCCCTGTATTAAGAGGCCTGATTACACCCGACAAGCTGGAAGCCGCATTTTCATCCCTCTATCCCGCCCGACTCCCCTCTGACAAATCGGTAATTGGCAAATCTGATCTCTTTCACCTCCTCCCCCCCCCCTTTTTAGCTTCTAAAGTTACTTGCTACGTGGTGTAGCCAAATCATTCGGCATAATGTGGACTTTCCTCCAAGTATTTGTGGACTCTTGATTCTCAACAGTCGAACTTGCTTGCTCTCCAACCCGGTGGAAATTGAGGGCTCTAAACTCTTCTGCGATCAAATGCGACTGCTCTGTCTTGCTCAATTGGCTGCTTCTCCCAATAGATGGTTAGGAGAGCCACTTACTTAATACCTACTTCATTAGCATCTTCTTCATTGCCCGATTTGTAATACCTTCTATCATTATACAGGCACTTTTTGATGAAGCTTTTAGCCTGCGTTGAAGGCAACGTATCTCCTGATCAAACTTTCAGCCAGGTCTGCCTCGGTCTCTCGAAAGATGACCATCCAATTCCAGCTGGCAATCAGCAACAGACCCTACTAGCCCTTCTGGAGCGTTTGATGGAAAGAGTGGATTCTCTTTCTAATCGTCTGCATCGGCGGTGCTATGTACTTGCTGCGGTGTTTTGTTTAAAGCACTTGGCATCCTCGGAGCATCTATTTAAAGAGGTCTCTGAATCGGTCATAAGCCTTTGTGTACAGGTGTGTTTACTTATTAACATTTAAGTAGGCATTTTATCCACTCGAATTTACTATTTGTTCCCATATCCCTCTACAGGCCCTTTTCGAAACTGATGAAAATCCAACGAATTCTACTGAAGCGGATTCCTGGGTCGCTCCATCGACACTGGCTAGTCCAAAACAGTTGAAGGCGTCGCTAGTTTCCCTTCTTGGGAACTTGGTTGATACATTATCAGCTAATGTGGATCCAGCTGTTTGGTCCCAATTTATTCAAAAGATTGCTTAAAATTTACTGCTTTGTATTTCTTAAATAAATTTTATTATTTGTTAGCTCCCGATTTGAATAAGTTAAACAGGGTGTTGAATTGAACTTGAACCTCTATTAATGCAATTATAAAGCGATGGTTTTGCTATTGACCTCCTACTCTTTAAAGGATACTTTGAAGATGGAGTAAGGTTATTTAATCAAGAGCCAGTGATTCGTCATTGACGCAAGATGAAGTAATCGCCTCTTGTCAATTTTCAAAAATTTGAATTTCACCTCAAAGTTCTTGACTCATTCAACTAGAGCAGTTAGTCAAGAAAGTGGATGCACCGTCTCTGCTACTGCTTCTACCAAACCCCTTAAAACTGAGATCATAGTATATAGATATCATCCAGATGTGCTATTTATATCTAATTATGCACTGAGCTTGAAATATCTACCATTCGGTTTTTACCAGGTGCCGCTTAGAACGCTATCGGTGAACCCGTTTCAATCTCAAAATTAATTCACGGAGTGGACTTAAGAAAGGCTTTCAGGTACTTCTTCTATACTGACTTTGACACTGTCGGGTATATACGTCGAAAATTACATCTTTCTCCAAATAACCCCCAAATAATGGCTTTATCCATTTTTGGAATCTGCGAACATTGGCAAACTGCTATAGATCGTTAAGTTGACATCTGATCACCATAAGTTAACTAAATGATTGTCTTATTAGCGCCTTTCATTCTTGACGTCCAGAAGGTTTCTGACGTATGAAGAGCATTGAGTGAGTTGTGTTCGCAATTTACTTCCACAGAAACCTATTCCCTCGCTCAAGGTTATGGATGAGATTAGATAACACGATGATCAGTATGCTTGAATTATTGATCACACAACCTTGCATAATTTACATCATCTAACAGTAAAGTACAATTACGCAAGCCTACCTAGGAGGTGTTCCTTCATTCTGAAAGGAAATAGTATTTTCTGAGCTTTCTGCATGTAATCGGGTTAACTTGGGGGGCATTGGTGACATTAACAGGGAAATGTTGATTTAAGCTGCATCTATAAATGCACTAATACCTATCAGTCTTATGACATAGGAGCAAAGTTTTTGCACGCACAGTAACTACGTGCTAGAGCACCAAGTCGCACACACAGTTGAGGGAAGAGTGAGTGAAGGGGGGGGGAGTTGTGTGGTGGTGGCTTGGCTGCCCATTATCGATCGATCACTGCTCCCCTTCTGCCAAATCCTCCTTCTTCCTCTCGCTTCCTCTTCTCCTTCGTCTCTTGCTGCACCCGCCCAACAAGTTACGCCCAAAACGCACACACACACACACACACACACACACACAGGCTTATGGTGCACAAGCGTGGCACAATCACAACTCCACTCTCCTTCTCAGAACACACAAGCCTCTGCTCACTCTCTGCTCTTCTGACCCCCCCCCCCCCCACACTATGTCCTCGAATAATTCTTCTGAATATCACCGCAGAAAACAGACTCGTCCAACAAAAGGTACGTTCCACTTGCATCCCCCCCCTTTGCTCAACTTCTTAAATGTATGACTCTTTACTTCGGTGAGATGCGGTAAAAAGTGCAGCGGAATCGCGTCACCAATTTGTCCCAAAATAGCTCCTTTTTAAAAGTCGAGAAACAAAAGTTGACATTCTCCCAGTTTAGCCATATTACAGCATGACGTAATTAAGTGACGGGATAGTTTAAATAGCCCAAATTATAAGTTGGGCTAAATTTGATATGAACTTATGGAGATAACAATAGTATTGAAATCCTCATAAGTTGAACTTAGATATGACCCATCACGTTTATAAATCGAATAAACTTTTTTTTAAAATTAATTAACTTTAATCGTAAATTATTATTTTTTCGGTCATGTATGTGATACTATAAAACAGCTACCAAAAATTGAAGAAATATTGGCACCTAATAATCGGCGTTTGGAGGCCTTGATGGCGAAGAAGTGTTGGGTGGGGGTGGGGGTGGGGGGTGGGGGGGGGGGGAGGGA